GTGATTGACATTTAGGAACTATCACTCACCAAAGAGGGAAAGAGGCAAACAGTGCAGTATCTGTGTGCTGGAGAAGTACCGGAACTCCGTAAGCGCAGAAGCCATGGTAACTGCTAAGAAGTGTCTCAGGTTGAAACATTCAACACGGTCTCTAGTTAGTCCTGGGCCCACAGCTCCTTGAACGCAATTAGACAAAAACATCTGTGGCTAACTGACTTGAAGGGGCTTCCGCAGTGACCAGGGCTTGCTGGCACCAGCCTCCAGGACTCTCGTTTGGGTGTGGATCCTTGGCATAGGTAAACTCCAACAGGGACCTCATCTGCAGCACGCCTACGGCGCCCCCAGAGACAGATGAGTCAAAAATCACTCCATACCCTTTGTAGAAAAGCCACGCGATCTCCATAAATGTCTAGGGGAAATCAAGTTTCCTTACGAGTCTCCAGAATTCTGGTCTGTTCATCCTTTATCAAGCAAGGCAAGGTGAAAAACAAAAGCATAGAGCTGGCCACATTTTTTCTGAGCCTACGACCGTCATTCTTAAGGAGCAGAGGTTTCGGCCCTGTCCTTGGCCCAAAGGATGCCATGGTTCCAAACCCCCACCATTTAGCCCATCAGGGGCTCGCTCAGGGGGGCCCTGTGAGCAGCCAGCCTGTTTTCTGGGTGCAGCAGGATTCTCTTCCCCTTCCCCAGTGAGTGCTGCAGCCTCCTTCCACCAGACACCAGGGTGCCACAACATCTGTGTCCCTTCTTCAGAACCCGTGGGATGATACAGAGCTTCTGTGCACAGGTGTCCCTGTCTCCTGGGAACGGGCAGGGCGGTAAACACCTGTCTGATCATTCACAGGCCCGCTAAGGAGAATTCCTCACTTTCAGCCAGTCAGACGGCAGTGGGACATACGAGAGGGGTGTATTAGCCAGGGAGCCATGACTGGCAGGCCCATTCCAGTGTTTAACAGAGGAAGCCTTTGCCAGACTGAAGGAAACAGCAGCAACAGCAGGCTAACAGACAGTTCCTGTGATTTTGTTGGGTTTTGTCTTGTTTTATTCTGTGCCAGTGAGGGGTCACGGTACCAGCGACACAGCCAACAGTCTCTTATTATCGAGAGAGCAAGGTGCCGGAGAAGATCCTTGACAGGTCTGTCATCTCACAGCCCAGGAGCTGAACAGCTCAGCCAGAAATACTTGGCACAGAGTATTGTGCCGCGAGGTCAGTTGTGTGGCCAGGTTGTGTGCTTTGGGGGGAACACACAAAGCAACATAATGCCTTCCCTGCAAAGCACACAACCTAGCCACACAACCAACCTCTCATCTCAAAGGCCCATTTAGCCAACCTAAGTGGCAGTTATCCAGTTCCTTTCAAAAGCATGAAGCCAGATCTATAGTTTTACAACTCTCTCCCCCATTCCCCAAGGTCATCTTCTGGCTGTGGTTATTCTCCAGCCGATTTGCCCTCCTGCTGTTGCCGTAGATAAAACTATTTTTAGTGCACAACTGGTTCGAAGGGAGTTTTGTTAATTTCACAACTTCGGCTGGTTGACATCCACAAATGCCTTTCAGAGCTTTAACAGCGGACAGAAATTTTTCTCTCCCTTTTTTTTTTTTCCTTGAGAGATGACTTCAGATAAGAAGGAAATACAAATTGCAGGTGGCAGCCACAGGCTGACCAGTGACAGTCCAGCCAGCCATCTCAGCCCTGGCAGCTGACCCACAGGCTGACCAGTGACAGTCCAGGCACCCATCTCAGCCCTGGCAGCTGACCCACAGGAGTCCCTGCTCAGTGTCAGCTGTCACCACCCCTTCATGTTGGCTTGAATATCGGGACCTACACAGCCTGGTTTCCCCTGCAGTCCCAGATTTGATGAGCGCTTTGGATGAAACAGAAATACAATTTTAATGGCTAACATGTTACCGGTCAAGACCATCACTTGTCCACCGTCAGAGAGGAATAACAGAACAATGCAGTGTTTCTCGAACAACTTTCCACTGTAGGAACGCAGGAACACTTCCCAGGGTTATCTGTTCCGTCTAAAATGCCATTTTCAGGACTTCCTGTTCCTGTTTTTCTAAAAAATAGGTATTTTGTCCCAAAGTAGGTCCAATTTGCCATCATCATAAAGTAGTCACGTGTCACTTATGCATGGAGCTGCATTCTGAGAAATGCATCAGTTGATGGTTTTGTCGTTGTGGAAACATCATAGAGCGCACTCACACAACCTAGCTGATGCAGCCGACCACACGCCTGAGCAATATGACAGAGCCGCCGTTCCAACCACCAGCATACATGCTGACTGCTGTTGACCGAAATGCAGTACGTGACTACATATGCCAAGTATTCCATTTAGATGGTTATTGCCCCTTATCCCAATAATGTCAATTCCCTTGCAAATTCCATTCTGCAAGATTAAACTCAAACATCACTTGTAGGCTGGGTGGGGTGGCTCATGTCTATAATCCCAGCACCTTGGGAGGCTGAGGCAGGTGGATCATTTGAGGTCAGGAGTTCGAGACCAGCCTGGCCAACAGGATGAAACCCCGTCTCCACTAAAAATACAAAAATTAGCTGGGCACGGTGGTGCATGCCTGTAGTGACAGCTTCTCAGGAGGCTGAGGCAGGAGGATTGATTGAACTCGGGAGGTGGAGGCTGCAGTGAGCCAAGATCACACCACTGCACTCCAGCTCCGGTGACAGAGAGAGACTCCATCTCAAAAAAACCACCAGTAGCGAGAGGCCTTCCCCTGATGCCTCAGGAAGAACCTTTATTTTAGCTTCTACAGAACTTTGCAAACTCTTCACACCACTATAACCATCACCACTTTGTTTGATGTTAATGTGGGACAATGTCTGCCTCTACAGGTAGAGTGGACCCCAACGCCAGCTCTGTACCACACAGGAAAAGGTCTATGAACGTTCAATAAATCAATTGATCAACATCTCACAGCTTCCCACCATGCACACAATCCTCAGCACACACATAGATAGTACCCGTGACATATGCAAATCCTGAGCAGAGGTAGAAACCATAAAGATAGCTTTATGGTTCAGATAGCTTCTTTCCAGAAACAATGCCAGTGTGCCCAGGGCACCCCGCATGGCCTGATCCTGAGCCCTGAGTCCTCCAGTCAAAACATGTCTTCCATCTTATTCAAAAGGCAAAGTATTTTCAACAGTGTGTCACAATGTGTCCGATGCCAAAGCGCCTATAACTAAAGAAATACTCCAAAGGAAATGCTTGACCGGAAATCTTCAGAAATGTTACCTGGTATACTAGTCACATTTGTATCAACCCACCGTATGAGGTTAGGTACTCCAAGTAATCCCCACGTCTGGAAGGGAAGTTACAGAGAACTTCATGCAATCTGGTCACAAATATGATCCCGTCAGGGCTCAGGGTTAGCTTTTCAGTGACTTCATTCTTTCTCAATTGCAATTGTGTTCAAATTGAGAAAGATTTCCATAGAAAAATACAAATATCCAACTTAGCGGAAAGCCAGGACAGTGGTTGGAAACCCCCTTAGGCCCAATGTGGATTTTATTCTGTGGTGCTAATGATTGGATAACTGGAGTTCTGTCAACTTTGGGAGTCAGCCAAGTGATGGATTCTGGAGGGCTGGTTGTGCACACACAACCAAAGTGTCTGGTGAGTGCACACACACACACACACACACTCACACACACCAGAATCCATCAGTTGGCCCATGGCCAAGAGTAACACATCTTTCTCCTAGAGCTAAAGAAAGACAGTGTACTCACGCCTGTAATCCCAGCACTTTGGGAGGCCCAGGCGGGTGGATCACGAGGTCAAGAGATCAAGACCATCCTGGCCAACATAGTGAAACCCCATCTCTTCTAAAATATAAAAAATTAGCTGGGCATGGTGGCTCGCATCTGTAGTCCCAGCTGCTTGGGAGGCTGAGGCAGAAGAATTGCTTGAACCCGGGAGGTGGAGGTTGCAGTGAGCAGAGATCGCGCCACTGTACTAAAGCCTGGCGCCTGGTGACAGAATGAGACTCTGTCTCAAAAAAAAAAAAAGAAAAAAAGAAAGACAGTGTACAAGGTGACCACCATCACTCACTCAAGGCATGTAAACGCAGACAAGAAGGTCCGACGCTGCAGGAAGACAGGAGGACCAGTGGGGGTTGTGCTTTGGGCTTAACCACCTGTTTAAATCTGGAGGAAACATGATTACAAAAGTCTTAATCAGAGTAAAGAGCTACCAAACGATAAGTATTGAATATCATGATGAACGGAAGAACTAAAAAGCCACAAACCAAGCCCCTGGCAGTTGCCCTGAGGCGCTGACCCTGTTAGAAAGATGGAACATTTCTCTTATAGAGCCCTGGAGAGGTGGGAAGAGATGCCACACAGATCAAAGAGAAACAGCACTTCCAAAGGGAAACCGTCCCTGGAGATGGTGTCCGGGCTTGCGGCACTGCCACTGTTGTCACTGTGCTAATATTTAAATCAGAAAGAAGAAAGTGATTTGTATAAACCGAAGTCCCACACAGTTGGGCTCCTGGACGGCTGGCTGCTGTTCTGGTTTGCACAGCGGTGCCCACCTTAGCTAACCTCCCTCCATAATTAGTGTTACCCTCTAACTAGTGGACACAATGACCCCGTGTTTCCTTTAATCAGTGGAAAAGGAAAGTTTGAGTTTTAAATACATTCATTACTTTTGGGTCCCAAGGTAGGGACACTGCAGAAATGTCTTCCTTGCTTTTTAAACTGGTATCACCAATAAACTTGGCTTGACAGAAGAGGCAGGAAGGAGAGGGGATCTCTGGGAATTCCATAAAGTCCCCTAAGCTCTCTCCTACCAGCTGGTCGGCCCCCTGAAATCTTGAGAAGCACAGGACCAGGGAGTTGAGCCCAGGGTGCAGCGTCGGGGCCAGGGGCAGGCTCCTGGGCATTCCCATCCCTAGTCCCCTCTAGAGGGGGCAGCCAGGATGGGGGAACAGGATGGGGGAACAGGACGGCGCGCCTCCCGCCTCCAGTTACTCACCCTCCTGCTGGGCGCCCCGGGCGTCTTGGCGGCGCCGCCGCTCGAGAGCAGGGTGACCGTGGACGTGGAGCGCAGCATCCCGCAGCGGCGGTCGGTAGCGGGCTGGATGCCGGCGCTCCTCCGGGGCGGAATAAGCACGCGGGGTCCGCCCCGAGCGGGGGCGACGCCGGACGGGCGCAGGCTGCTGGCGGCTCCAGCAGCACCGCGGAGGCCAGGGGGGCCGGGCCGGGCCGGGGCGAGGCCGGGGAGGGGCGGGGTCGTGAAGGGGCGGGGCCGGGGCAAGGCCGGGGAGGGCGGGGCCTGGAGGGGCGGGGCCGGGGCAAGGCCGGGGAGGGGCGGGGCCTGGAGGGGCGGGGCCGGGGAGGGCGGGGCCCGGAGGGGCGGGGCCGGGAGGGGCCCAGACGGCTCACCGGACCTGTCAGGCTGCATTTTCTCCCGAGGGCACCGACCTGGTTAAAGTTGAACACCGTCCACTCCCAGAGCACTACGCCCTACCAGGGTCAGTCCCGGAGCAAGAAGGAGCCCTGGAAGCCCACGCTCTCTCTGTCCCCAGCAGGGTTGAGGTCCACCTGCCCGTTCTGTCTCATGACCGAGCCCCATCCCGGGTTGCCCCCTACAGCCTCTGCACACCCTCGGATCACTGGGACCTTCGCCCCGTGTCATTCATTCCGGATCACTTGGACCCTCACCTCGTATCATTCATTCATCATTTCCTGAGTGTCTATTATGCGTTCCCGACGGCAGCCAACCCAGTAGACTGGCTCTTGGACTCGAGGAGTTTGCAGTCTGGTGGGGATGACAGGTGTCGGGATATGGTAGAAGAGGAGATACTGTGTGCTACGGGAGCACACAGCCAGTCTCAGAGGAGGTGATGACTAAGCTAACACCTGAAATGCAAGTAGGAGTGAGCCACGCTGCCCATATTTATTCAACGATTACTGTGGGCCTACCTGGAGAGCACTTCACATGTGTTCCTTCATTTAATCCTCACGAATGCCCTTTGAGGGAGGCACTATTGTTATCCTGTATCCCCATTTTGCAGATGAAGATGTTGACTCACCAAAAGATTGAGCAACACAGCTGGGGCCCCGCTGGCTGCTCGGCGGCAAAGGTAGGATATGGATCCCCCAGTCCAAAGCTAGTGCCTTGCTTGTCCCCTCTGCTGTCCCTTAGCAGAGGGAGGAGGGAGTCCCAGGCCAAAAGAACTAGTGTGCACAAAGATGGAAGGGAAGCAAGGGAAGGTGTAAAATATATTTCAAGTACTGGAAGTGTCCATGCACAGGGAAAACAGTGGAGAAGCAGCAGAAGGGAGCTGAGGACATCATGAGGAATCTGTGCTCTTAGCTGGAAATCTGGCCTTTATCCTGAGGACAAAGTGCTTTTCAGCAAGGAAAAACACAATCTCTGTCTACTGGTCTTTTAAAGCCCAGGTGAAGCGCTATCTCCCCACTGACTTGTCCAGAAACTCCTGCCCCAAATACTCATGCTCAGGAACTTAGCAGTTTGGTGGGCCCATGTCTTCTGTTAGAGTTATCTGTCCCCCTTTCCTCTGGAGGGCAGATGCCAGGCCTTGACCCTCTCTGAATGCCCAATGGCACCAACAGGGAAGATGCTGGAAATAATAAAAATGTTGCTAAACAGAATTACAGATGATCCTGTGGAACTCACTCCATTTGCAGATGAGGAAACTGAGGTCTGTGTATACAAATGACATTCCCAAAGTTGCACCGCCTGTTCTTCACCATTCCCATCATCATCCTCACAGCAGCTGTGCCTACGTCCTAGGTGCTTCATATGCATTTTCTCAACCAATTCTCACAATGCCCCACAAAGTGGATACAGTTATCACCCCTGTTTTGCAAATAAGGAAACTGAGGCCAGGGACATTAGGTTAACTGGTGAACAGCTCCGGCTACACATGGAGTCTTCTAACCCAAGTCCTCCTGCTGTTTTGCTACACTCCTCTCTGCATCCTCCCATCCACCTACTCCTTCTAAAAAGAGAATTGTTCATGAAAGGTTCCCTCCCATTCCACGTCCACGAAGCCCTCTCATCTTTGGAGAGTTGTATAAGACTGAAAGCTGGGTCTGCTTTTCATTAAAAAGTTGTCAAAATGTGGCTGTTGAAAGCCACCATGGGTGAGAGACATCTGCATGGTTACCCCTGGGTAAAGAAATGATGATTGTTGCTTTATGTTGCCCTGAGTGGAAAGGAAATGGGCTGTTGTTCAGAGTCAAAGAAACTGTTGCCATCAGTATTTATTTATATCATGGAAACCACCCAAATGGCCACACAGATTGAGTCAACATTTGAGAGGAAGGATGGTCCATGGATCCATTTTTCCTCCATCCACCCAAGTCTCTTTCATAATGTAAACTTAATCTTTTTCACACTGTTACAGTTCTTTACAAAAGCAGCAGACGGCTCACCAGCTTGTGAGCTCTGTGTAAGAACTGGATGTCACTTACATCTCTGCCTGTCCAATATCTAGAGCAGGCAATTGACATGTGGTAGTACACAGTAAATGTGGAATGAATGAAGAAATTATATCACAAGCAAGATTTCAAATCACTCAAAAATCACAACAAAACAGAAATTAAGATCCTTGCCAACCCAGTTCCTAGCGTGGGCCAGGGGCTCCAAGCAATTCAGCAGCTGAAACAATCAAAGCCCCAGGGTTGTACCAGCCAGACCCTTTCTCCAAAGCCGGCTGACAATTGCTAAGGACGTGGGTGGCACGTCCGGGCAGATGCCAGGCCCTGCTTATGCCACAGCTCCTGACTACCAGGACAGCAGTGGGAATCTGGGGTCTTAAGGAACTGCGAGAGAGGAGAGTGGGGAGCCCAAAAAGTGGGAAAGAAGAAAATGGGAAGACAAGTAGGAAAGAAAGCAATGGGAAAGTGGGTCTAGAGTGCAGAGGAAAAAGTGAAAAATGAAGTCACAGTCACTGGCTTCTATGAATAGTTCTAAGAGAAGATACTTTTTTAAAAAGGATTGACTCTTAAAAAGAGGAATCAAAAGCTCAGAACTTCTTCCCAGCCAGCAGTCCTCTGGAGTCTACAGAACGAGAGTGGGGAAGAGGGCCAAAGGGAGGGGGACGGGGATTAGGTGTGGCGTGGAAGGTCTCCACGTTCCCCTGCAACATGCCTCATCTACTCCAGTGAGCACTGGTGATGACGGGCTGCCAGTGTTTTGGCTGGAGAGAGCAGAAGCTATGGCAAAACTGTCTTAGCCGTCATCCTTTTCTATCCACAGGAATAGGCAGGTATGCCTAAGAGCAGTCCTAAATTTCTCTGCTAAAGCACAGGAGTGTAGAAAATTCCAGATGTCTATATAAGCACCCTTCATTTTCTTGTGATCAGTTCCTGAATTTTACCTCCTTCTCCCATCTCGGTTCCTAGAATTCTTTCACGCCCTCTAGGCATCTGCTTTCCGAACCGTCTTGGTTGTTTTCTGCTAAACCTGCTCCAAATTCCGCTGGCATCTTTAGTTGAGAGGCTTATGATAGGACCCTTTTCCCCAGCAAAGTCCTGAGCAGCAATGGCTCATTGCAGAAATGATCAAGAGTTAACTCCATGGACAAGAGGACAGAGCAGAAGAATCCAAGCAACGCCAGCCTTCCTGATATTCTGTGCCCTCTCACTCACGTCTCTGAAGCTTCCCTTTCGTTCTCTCCCACTCCTCTGTGTCAGCATCCCAAAGTCCTGGCATATTCTCTCATTCTGCATGCCGAACACACCAAACTTTCACCATAGAAAAAGGACACATTTCCAACCAAGGACGAGCATAATAAACTACAAAGCCCCTTTGGATACAGTAGAACAAGAAACACGCCGTATTCACAGGGAGTCGGAGAAACAGGGAACGGGGCCCAGAGATAAGGAAGGCAGACTGAGAGGAACCCAAAACCCCAGCCAAGTAACCCAGATACACAGCGTTTATAAGCCTGTCTAGACACAGGGGCTGGAACCAGATGCTGATCCACCCTGGGGCATACAAGCTCATTGGAAATCATTTGTTGGCTCACCAGCTAACCGACAGAGTAGTAATAAGCCAATTCATGGAACAAATATGTACCAAGCACCTACTATGTGCTGAGTACTGGGGACTCAGATACGTAAGCCAGCCCCTGTCTTCTAGGAGTTCACAAACCGGGAAGGGAGATGAGCACTTAGCAAATAAAACGATAGATAACACTTTTTTTTTTTGAGACGGAGTTTCGCTCTTGTTGCCCAGGCTGGAGTGCAATGGTGCGATCCTGGCTCACCGCAACCTCCGCCTCCTGGGTTCAGGTAATTCTCCTGCCTCAGCCTCCTGAGTAGCTGGGATTACAGGCATGAGCCACCATGCCCAGCTAACTTTTTGTATTTTTAGTAGAGACGGGGTTTCACCATGTTGACCAGGATGGTCTCGATCTCTTGACCTCGTGATCCACCCGCCTCGGCCTCCCAAAGTGCTGGGATTATAGGCGTGAGCCATCGCCCTGATAGCTAATACTTTTATATCGCACTTACTGTGCTCACAAAGCTTAAAACGCATCAACACATTTAACTGTCACAGCAAGTCAGTGAGGAAAGTATTATGATGTCCCTTACTTTGCAGATGAGAAAATCGAGTGATGGCGAAGTTCAGTGATTTGCTCACGGTACCAGCACCAGAAAGTGGTTCAGCTAAGCTTCAACCCCTGGCAAGACGGCTCCAGCTTCTGTGTATGTGACAACTCACCTCCTCTACTGGGATCTAGGCCAGATTTGGGGTGTCAAAGCACTTATGGTGGGCAGCAGGGGAGCTGCTGGGGCAGAGATCAGTAAAGGCTTCCCTGGGCAGGTGGCGTAGGAGTTGCCATGAAGAATGAGGAGGAAAAGGTAAGCACATTCCGGACAGAGGAGCTGGAAGAAATAGTGGGTCGGAGGGTGTGGGAAATGCATGTTAGCCAGTTCAGCTTGAACTTCAGGGCAGGAGGAAATGGCAGAGACAAGAAGGGTGGGGTTAGATTGCAAATGGACTTGAATAAAGTTGAGACTTCATAGCAGATGATGAGCCATTAAAGTTTTGAAATTAGAACAGTGATATGATCAGATTTGCATTAAGACAGACGGCAGGCAGCAAAGAGAGGAGTAGGGATGGAAGACGGAGGCTGCAAGGCGAGTACTTTGGAGGGCACTGGGAGCGTGGCCACGACATCAAGAGGCTCCGCACTAGGGCAGTCAGTGGCCCTGGAATGGAAAGGAGGGGTTGGATT